AGTGTCTCTGTATGCTGGTTTGTGTGTTCTCCAACACAACTCTAACAACACTTCTCTGAACGTATTCACTCTCCCAACGGGGAGCTTACCTAACAGAACCAAAAGGTTGTAACAGAAGTCCACACATCTTAAAAGCAAAGAAGGAAAATCCCAAACCTCATCAGACAGACCCCTCAAGATCACAGATACCATTTGATGTCTCTAGGCTTATACATATGTGTTGTGCTGTGTTTTTAGGCCCTCCCAATAACCAGCAGCAATCCCCAAGCATGGAATGGTATACTCTATTTGAAAGATTGAATAGACTTTGGTTAATACATGAGCAGAACTGTGGACAATATGGATGGGCCAAAGCAGTTTTAGTGCAGTCCCCATTTGCACATGGTTTTATAAAGCACCTTAACCATGTCCCAGTTGTCAATGGTTTTCACTGCAGAATAATCCATTCCATACTGATTTTTAGTAATGTATATTTTGTCAAGGTACTCAATTACTTTATTATAATACTATGATTTTGCTCATGTATGAATACTGGGAGGTCTGTAACCCTCTAAATCCTGTTTTTCTTTTTGGTACCCTACAGCATGTACATTATGTATCTATTAAGCCAAAGTTGCAATCCTGCTTTATCAACAAGTTCTTCACAATTGCCTAGTATAATACATCTTTTTATCTTAGAGAAGACTAAGCAAAAATAAGAGTTAAGTACTCTAGCTTAATTATCTGCTAACCTTTTGTCCATCTCCATTAAGCAATCAGCATGCTATTTCTCTCCAGTTCCTTTTATTTTAAGCACAACTGAAGAGTATCTTTTTGCTAACTGCTACTCATTACCAATCAAGCCTGTCTGTATTTCCTTTTTACACATGACCTGCATCACTTTCCACCTCTTATATACAGTACATCCATTTATATTTTCAGATCTTCATAAAGTGTTCTATGTGGTTATCTTCTGATGTCCTGTATTTTTTCCCTCTTTGAAAATATTTGATTGTGTTTTAGAGCCACTTTTAGTGTCACCCATTCACCTTGAACAACCTTTTCCCATTAGCTTCTGCTGCCATGGAATCCTACTCTTTATACTCTGGGTGTATTGAAATCTGCTTTCTTGAACTCCAAATTATATTGATTAGTCTCATCTTTATTTTATAGCCATTTTCCTACAAAGTTCCTACTATTCTCACTTTTATCTATTAAATTTTCCCTATTGGTTAGGATCAAGTCTAGGAGAGCTAATTTATCTTAGAGCTTCCTTCATCTACCACTTTTGAAGAAATTAACTGTCAGACCAGAAATTTCTTGGAAAGATTATACTTGGCAGAGAATTCCCCAGAGGTAATTCAAATCCCCAGGCATTAACATCTGATGCCTTTTTGAACTATCCGAAATTTGCCTTTGGGAATACAAGCAAACTTCTCCATGCCTTAAGTCTTACAACAATGTAAGCGGCAAAGTCAGAAAATCATGAATCAAAAAACACTGTTAAGGATTTATAGAATGGTTTTTGATCATGATTCCATTCAAAATTCAAGGTAAAGGGATTTAATATCTACAGCAAGATTTGTATTAAATAGCAAACCCTGTCAAAGTTTTGGCAAAGGACAGGTTACCTAGTAATCACTGAATTATTGGAATTCAGACCACATTGCCATAGGTATAATTCCAATGTCTGATTGAACCCAAAGAAATCATTTTATCTAAGAAACTCTTACTTCCACAAAAGCAAAGTTGAATTGGTGCTATTTAGATCAAGTTGCTGGCCCATTAAGAAACAACAGTTTCTTCAATCTTCTTTCTACACTCTGCCTTTCTACTCCCTCTAATGTTCAGCTTGGAAAGTTATGCTCTCATAGGTTTGGGGCCTGTATCCATGCTTCAAGGTCAAGTCCAGTGTTGCAAATTCACAGAAGTAGAAGGCAATTCCATCCAGGGATCAGATTCAATTTTTTTTACTACCGGTTCTGTTGGCGTGGCTTGGCGGGTGTGGCGAGGGTCGTGTAACTGAATAGGTGTGGCCACCTTGATGTGAGTGGCATTGAGTTGGCCACACTCACTGAGTCACATGACCCCACCACCACCAAGCCATACCCACCAAGCCACACCCACAGAACTGGCAGAAAAGGCATTTCCTGCAACCTGTCTCCCTTTATAGTCCCCCCTCCCCCCTGCAGTCTGGCTGCCTTCTGAACAACACCATCCCTCCGGCGCAGCAGGCTGTTCTCCTCGCCGGGTCTGGCATTGGGGTATGGCTGCGCACACGTACCAGCAGGCAATAGGCTATGCTTATGCAGCCAGTGCAAAGAATAGAGCGGTGGTGGGAATGAAACTCGCACCAAAAAAAGAGGAGGCGGCTGCAGGCATCTCGTGACAGGGGGGGGGGGCGAGATGTGGGCTGGTGGGGAGCCCAGTGGTGATGGCTCACCCCTGGCTTACCTTGCTCTCTGCCACCAGCCGTGGGAGGATTAAGGTAAGCCCACAGGAAGTAAGGGTGGGTGGGGTCTCTGAAGAGGAGAAATGGGGCAACACGTGGCAAAGGAAGAGTGGGCAGCTTGCAGGAGGAGGCCCCAAGAAGGCCGGAGCCAGAGAATGGCATGTTCCCTGACCATTCAAGGTGAATGGCAAATGGGTGGAGGCTCCAGGGCCTCAGGGAATGGCACAACCCTGGGCCCCGGCTCCCAACCCAAGGCAAAGAGCAGCATGCTTACTTTTCGTGAGCTGAGCAGAGCGGGTGAGTTGCGGAGGTGACTGGTGAGGCAATTAGCTGGGCCACATGGCGAAGGCAACATATATAGGGCTGGGATGGGTGGGTCGAGCATCGAGAGTGGGGCAAGTGAGCATCAAGCAAGGTGAGTGAGCATGGAGTGGGCAAACGTGGCGAGCAAGCAGCGACTGGGCAGATGAGGCAAGCAAGTGGTGATAGGCAGGCAGGGGCAGGGCCAGCCAGAGGTCGTTACCGGTTTGGTCAGGTGAAGTTCCCCCTACTGGTTCGCCTGAACCAGTGCAAACCGGCTGAATAACTCTTTTGATTCTATCACGACTTTAGTCATCCAACCTTTTATTCTTACAGCTTCTTTTTATTGTTTCTGAACTCTGTGAACAAGTTGTATTCTTGAATTATGTATTTCAAACATGAGAATAATCCTACCAGGGCTTAGTTATATCTTTCATCGCCTTTGTCTTTCTCTATTAAAAGTTCAAATTCATGTTGTTTGTCATCAGTATTGGGTTCTTACTGGCATTCCTGCCAGTTTGCTGAGCGTGCGTGCGTACTTGAAAGAAACCTGATCGGAAAGTATGGAAAACAGCTGAGGAGCAGCAATTCAATCTGCCACCCCTGATCAGCTGGGCTTTAGAAGCTGAAATAAAGGTAGGTATAACCCAGGGTGGACCAGCAGGCCCACTTTCAAAGCAACAGGGAACCAGTTCACTCTCTGCTTGATGGCAGAGCTACCGGTTCTGGAAAACCAGTGCAAACCGGTAGAAACCCACCACTGTTTGTCATGTACTCTCAGTATGAAAGATATTTACAAGTTAATTGTTCTTCCAGATTTTTCATTGAGTGGTTTAAAAGATCCCACTGCAGTTACTCTGTTCCTTCCTTCCACAGTATACAAATCCTTATTATAAATGTTTCTTGTTTCTTGTATAAAATCTTGAATCCTGTTTCAAAACTCCAGAAATGTAAGGTCAGCAGTCTCAAGAAATGAGTAGAAGTAACAATCGAAGACTTAGGGTTGGTTTTCTTTTGGGGAAGTTTTATTTCCATCAACTTTTCTTAAAATAAAAATCAGGCCAAGTTTTTGGAAAGAAGGGATTAAGAAGCAAAATAGATGTCTTAAATCTCTGACATTAATAGGTCCCTTAACCCATCCATCTCCACCCTCCTAGCACATATAAGCACAAATTTATATTTAAATCTTTCCCACTATGGTATCATTAGCAAGATATATAAAACCAAAATTTGGGTTCCAAACCAAAACCAGTTGCTCACTTCTGGTCTAAAGCTCTTGGATTTCTTTTCTATTTCTTGAAGTGAGTAGTTTCCCATACTCTAGCTCTTCCTAAATTTTCTCCAAGAAATCTTAATGAGCTGACCACTTACTATCCCAGTCTTCTTACTGCTTTCTCAAGCACCAAGAATCTACGTTTGTTACAAGCATTGTTTTCTAATAGGAAACAAACTCTAGAGAAATACAGAGATGGCAACGAAGACTAAAAAGCAAACCATTAGTAAAATATGTTTCACTTGCTAAACATGTTATTATGTTAAAAACTGTAGTGATTCACAACAACTGTAGCAGAAAAAGTAAAAAAATGGGACAAAACTCCCTTTAAAAATATCTTGTTTAGCAACAGAAGTTTTGGACTTAATTTTGGTCATAGGTCAAGGACTACCTGTACAATTTTTTGTTTTATATTCTGGAGGGAGACATCAAGCTTTTGCTTCAATTTCAAATTTTCAATTGCCACCATAATAAAGTGGTGTTTTGGCCTGCCATATAACAGTAAAAAAATATATTCATTCCATATTGCCCAAAATACGCAAGTCCTATCTCTGTCCTGTACTGAACTGTATTACAGCATCAGTACTAACTAAATTAACAGGAGGCAGGGTCCTCTTGGGCTTTGTTCATGGCTCCGATAAAGGAATGAGATCCCTTGGGTTGTGAATAAACTATTAAGGTTAGTTCCCCTATTAATGAGAAGATAAAAGATAGGCCTTCTCCCAGGATTAGTTGAAACAGTTCTCAATGGAGTAGCATGGAAGGCTCACTACTGAATGTCATTCAGGATACCCAGCTGTCTCTTTTTTCCTTCACCAAGCAATTCCATATTATCACTGAAGCAAGGGAATGTAGCTCCACCCTTTAATCAGATTTCCTCACGCAGCTGTGGTTGCAATTATTTTGATCAAGAACTATTAGGCCCAAATTCTGAATGGAGCAAAACATCACACCATAGTCAAGTAGGATTCACCTCTTGAAATTCCATTCACCTAGACCAAAAGCTATTGATTGTGAAAATACTTTTAGCTAATTAAGCTTTAAATGCTATGAGTGCCACATAAAGCAAATGGCATTATTAAGATTATGTCCCATATTCAGATACCTTATATAAAATGGTTTATTACTAAATATTAAAATCATCTATTATCTTCCACGCAGTATTCTTAATGTAACACTGAAGATGTCATCAGTAAAAGAATTCCCCCTACATATACCTCCTCAAGGCTTTTGGCAAGAGTCAAACACCTTTGACACCAACAGCTGGAAATGACAGATCAATGGTTCAATATTCACAACAGCATGTCACTGATGTGACAGCAAATGTTATTCTAATGAAGCTGTAATCATAGTCAAATTATGTGGTTCAATACACAAGAAGAAGAAGGGGGAAGGGATAAATAGGATCAGGGGTCAGGAACAAAAGGTTATTCTGCTTACCTCAAGCACTTGCTGGAGACTAGGCTGTCCATCCACCATGGCCTGAATAATTCCAGTCAGCTAAAACAAAAGAAACACAGAAAACACATATTAGTTGAAAACTAAATAGCCATAGAAAAAGAATAGCTCACTTCCATCCCACCTCCCTTTTTTGTTACTTGTTTCAGCTTTCATTGCTTTTTTAAAATACTAAATACTAAAGCTAAAACACTTTATAGAAAAATCAAAGGGAAAGCAACAAAGACAAGGAAGAATACACAAAAGTAAATAAATGCCATCTTTCATTTTGTTTACTGGAGTTCTTAAACACAAACAGAATATAATTAATCATTGTCAAACTCCTGCCCATGGGCCAGATGCATCACACGTTGGCAATGCCCACCCCCAAATCTAGCGAATGGGGAAAAGTCCCAATACATCATGTGACGACGCTGCGACACAGTGAGTTTCAATAGCAGGAGACTTATATACCGCTTCATAGGCCTTTCAGGCCTCTCTAAGCGGTTTACAGAGAGTCAGCATATTGCCCCCAACAATCTGGGTCCTCATATTGGAAGAGTGTTTAAGAATTAACAGGTAAAAATGTTATGGGACTTCCAACTT